GTTGTGGGTCTTCTTTTGAACTAAATGTAGGCATTTTAAGCACTGTCTCAGAACCTCTATAGCATGAAGCCCCTTAGAGCTTTTACCCCATGTATATATATTCTGTGACTTAAATAAAATGCTGGATGATGTAATGATAAAACATTATGCATTTCTTGTGTCTCACAGATCCTCCATTTGGTTAGCACCTGTGCAAACGCCACTTCCATCTGTTCTTATTGAAAATTTCCAAGTCTGAAAGACATGAGGTCAGGATCTGTTCGCTGTGGTAATCCACTACAAAATATGCTTGGAGCAAACCAAGTATGACTTGATTATTTATCATTACTACTACACACCTTCTTACGACACCACTATGGCAGTTGATTTCACTGCACTAAAAACTATGTGAAATTAGAGGATGAGTTGATCATATAAGAAAGATGGAAAGTATTCCTTAAAAAAAACTGAGGTATACACTTCAAAAGAGTCTAAGCAATGAAGACAAAGCTGATTTTTTGGTTACTTCTCTTTTTAGGCTATTTTTGTAGTTGGAAAATATTTTACCACAACGTGGAGCACAACAAAGTGTGCAGGCTTTCACACTCATCAGGCTTTGGAGGCAATACCTTCAACTGCTCCTGTTGTGAGAGGGAGCTTCAGAGCACAAATTCAAAGCAGTGTTGTGATGTTTAATAAAATTAATAAACATGTTAGACTGAGCAAGTCCACTGAGTCCCACTCTTTCTGGACTCAACCAATATCTGAGATCAGGCTTCTCCTTAGAAACCCAGTGTTTAGTCAATTTGTATTTTTGATTTTACCATAAAGACACAAGGATCAATTTATTTGGGAAACATATACTATCATAAACTTGTAAAGCTCTTTATTGAGTTTCTTCTAGAGTAGACTGAAAAATCAAAAGTGGAAAGGAAGTGAATAAAAGGCACAAATAGGAATTTCTGTATAGAAAGTGCACGGACATTGCCTTGGCAAAAGAAAGTTGAGAAAATGTACACATGGAAGAATAAAAGCCTTGTTTTGAATAGCCCTAATACCATGTCAAATCTCTCCTTAAGTAGCTGAGTATTAAATTACTAAAGGACAAAAGTGAGGAAAATTTAAATGAAATAATCTGTTACAGAAGTATTAGATATAGAAGGTTTTCCGTTTAAAAAAGAATATTAAAATTGTCCTCACTTTTGTCCTTTCGCTAATTAGAGAGCAAGTTTCAGAAGAGCAAAAGTGTTCATTCCCCTCTGGGTTGTCCTGAGAGCAGCGCTGGGGGCTGTAGCCTCCAAGGAGGCAACGTTCCCTGCTGCAGGCTCTCCGAGACGTGAAAGATGGTGTGTGGAGGTATTGCCTTTTCTCCCATGAGAGCTGTGGTCTCTCCCACTGCCAGAGGAAGAAAGGGAAACTTTGTGCTGGATCGGCCTGCTCTAACAGAAAGCTAAGGTTATTTCCACCTCTGCTCTTAGCCTGCTGGCTCTAATTAAAATGGAAGATCTTTAGGAAAGGGAATGTATTTTGAGAGTGTTTGCACAGTGCTTCCAGTGAGTGCCTGATTTCACCTGAGGACATCTGTATTAAAAAAAGCAGTTGAAAGAGATTTGATAATCCTCATCTGAGTTATTTTACCTTGTAGAGAATTTGAGGGATGTGAATTTACCAAGCTCTTTGGGTTCCTGGCTTTCTAATCTCATGTTTCCCCACATTCAAATGCCTTGTTTCATAGGACAGCATCTGCCTCCTACTCCCCACTTTGCTAGGATGAATCATGCAGTCCCGGAAAAGGTCATGGAGCTAAACTGACATCGTTCATTAAGCTTGGCAAAGAAACCCAGAACGCCACCCCACTGAAAACTGCTAAAGGGCAATGAATAGTTGGTTGGAATACTTGGGGTTCATGGTCCCAAAACTGCAAATGCCATCAATCTGTACCTTGTAATCTATTTACAGACTTGGTAGCTCTGACTTGGGCTTTTCAGTATCCCTCGCTTTAGTTTTTGCAAAAAACAAACAAAAAAACACCTGCAAGACTATAGAATGCCATCATATGGTAATTTCAAGCTCAAAACAAAGTCTCCACTGCATTTGCTTCTCACAATTTGCAGGTTCTGTCCAGATAGTTCTTAAAACAAGATAAATCAGCATTACTAGCTCACTGGTACCCTCATGTGGACAGAAAAGGCATTTGGTCAAATACAGAAAAATATGAAACATTTTGTCAACAGAAATATATGGGGCGGGGACGGAAAAAAAGTCATGCCTTTATCGCAAAACAAGAACTGCACATTGTTGGGTACCCAAGTGCCTTTCATTCTAACACTTTAAAATGCGACCAAGGAAAAGTGCTTGTGGATATACCCACCAAAGGCCTGGGTAAGTGTCCCAATGGTTCTGTAGCTCTACCTCAGGCATAGATAAAACAACACAAAATAGAGCAAAAACTGCTGACAGATGGTAAAAAAAGAAAGAGGTCATTTTTGTTGCTTGTTAGCCATTCACGCAGACAAAGATGTAAAGATTTCTTCACAAAGCTAGTATGAATTTAGGTATCCAAGTGCCCGTGAGCAATATTTGCTGCAAAATGAGAGGAAAGAGTCCAAAGGCAAGAGAATTGCAGTCACTTAATTCCTTAGACCTTCATATGCAGACAGAAACATAAAAAAGCTCATCTGACACACATGAGCAAGAATGTATCTACTTCAGGTTCCACATTTACAACAGACAACATGTATCCCAATGAAAAAAAAAAAAACCCTGCCTTTCGTGAATGAAAAAAAATCATATCTATGAAGAAAATAAAACAAAGCCCTAAAAAAACTCAAGTTATAAAAGCTATTCTGTTTCAACCATGCATTTTGCAGCTTTTTGTAGCAAAATAATTAACTCTAAAAGATGAAATATGGGAGTTATTGCTAAGCTTACCTTACACAGGGAATCTACAAGGGTATGTTTTCAGGCTAAGAGGATTCCTTCCATTTCCAGAAATACTTTAATAAATTATTTTAAAAACGTATCTATTTTTTTGCAATTAGCAGAGCAAGAGTTTTCACAGAAACTACATATACCCATCATCTCAATATAAATTTAAGTAAAATAAACTAAAGGGTAAGTTTTAATTTACTGTTTATCACTCTGTAATGGCTTTGTAAAAAAAAAAAAAAGGATAATTTCTTAGGTGTTACTATCTTTCCATTTAAAGTGTGGACTTTAGTTAATTGTGCAAGTCTGAAGACTGTATAGGAGGTTTCTTTTCTGCTACTTAGTTCAAAGCAAGCAACATGCTATTTTTTAAATTCCACTGACTGGGACTATATATATCCTGTACTGACAGAGGAAAGAAGATGACTCCTGCATCTTTATTTTATATCTAACAAAAAACCTGAAAAGTACCTACTAATTAGGGAAGGAAGACTGTCAGGAGAGAGGAATTCTACCACAAATCTTGAAAATTGCTTTGTGACTGTTGTGACCTTTTAGCCTTTTTGTAAATGTACTAGAAATACAAAACTTGGCATTACTAGTTAGATACCTTCTTCTGTATACTTTTCAAGCCATATTATCTACTGTTTAGTTGACTATGATGGACATTGCAGTAACATTGCGTTTAAAACTGCATCAAAGTTACTCCAAAAGATAAAAAAGAATGAAAAACACTATTAAAACTAATGAAATTGTCACTGTTCCTCTTGATCCTCCCAACTTGATCAGTAGATGAAACTGGGCTGATAAAAAAAACAACTACTTCTGACCATAAGATGGTGCTGTTGTTACTGTGTTGGTAATAAAAATGGTATGGGTAAAGCATTAAGTAACCACCCAAATGTGCTGTTGGATATAACTGCTTTCCTTTACCTTGACTTTTATGGAAGGCATTTGTTGAGGTCCAATAGCAAGAACATGTCAGTTGTTGCAAAAGTCTATAAAATTACAGATGATCTTGTAGAAAGGGAGCTCAGTGTGGGAAAAGAGTGAAAGAACTGTTTTCTGCGTAATAAACTTCATTCACAATTGAGATATCTGGACGCCTTAATATTCAAGCCATTTTCCCATTTCCTTATGTTCTGTAAAATTGGTTATTGAAATTCATGAAACAGAAATAGCCAACAGAAATAAATTCAGCTGTGAACAGAGACGGGAGCTTCCTAGCTAAGGTGCAGAATTCAAATCCTCCTAGAGCACACTCAAGTTCCTCAAAGTAAAATGGTACCTTCCTGTGCCACGTGCTCTAGGTGACCCTGCGTGTGCAGGGGGGTTGGACTAGATGATCTCTAGAGGTCCCCTCCAACCTTAAGGATTCTGTGATCCTGTGATTCTATGATCTTTTCCAATCACTAACAAGAGTTAAAAATTCAGTTGTACAATCCTGAATATTACCTCCATGTTGCAAAGGTGATCATACAAATTAGCCAGTACAATAATATCTATGTACATACAGTTGTGCATGCACAAGATACATGCATGTGCTGCAGATCTGCAACATCTATTAGACATTCCACAGGAGAACATGGTTATGTTGAAGCTCTTTGTGCTTGGTTGGCAGAATTTTCAAAATCAGTCAAAGACACTAGGCTGGGCTTAAGGCATCTTCCACCTATGTTCCACATTTCTAAAGCGCAAAGGCTATACATATATATTTTCCAAATACATTAACCCTGGAAAAAAGAAATGTTTTCCTTTAAAATTAATTTTACTACCTTGCATTTAAAATTGCAACTAAAAATCAGAATGAGACAAAGAAATAATATTAAAGTGTAATGGAGTTTGGCAAAAACACAGATACTGCAAAATAAAGAACCAATGTGCAACTGTAACTACAAGGGTAACAAATAAGCTTTCTAATTGGGCTATTGATTTTTTTTCTTCAATTAAGACATCTATTCCACTTTTTGTAGGCACATTCTTACCTCACAGTGTTTTTTAACACAGCTCTCCCTCGCCCCTCTCCCAAGGGGAGATTTGTGTGCAGCGTTTTGTTAAATGCTTTTCCCTTCGGGTTTGGCAGCAACTCCTACCTGCACGGGCCGGCCATCCTCTTGGCCGATCATGTTCCTCCACTCCTGCAGGGAACGCTGCAGGCTCTCGAGCCCGGTCTCCCAAAGCCTCACGCCACCTCCCATGTCCACACTGACCAGACCCACTTTGCCCAGGGGTGCCAAGAGGGCATCTGTGTCCGAGATCTCGGAGAGCCACGATGTATACGGAGAGAGAGACTCTGATCTGAAAAACAAGAATGAATGTGATTTATCTCAAAGCTGCAATTAAATAGACCTTGAAGAGTGAGGGTTTTTCTCCTAAATTTCTGTAGTAAGATGAAAATTAAAATAAACTATATTCCCATTCCCAGAGTAACCATAACCACGTCCTGCAAACATACTATTTTATCTGAAATATTACACCTACTGAAATTGGTGAGACTGAAAGACACGTGCATCCAGGTTGAAAGGGAACGTGCTGCACGCTACACCCCATCTGTCTTAAGGATATCAATCCTTAAAGAAAATTAAGTGCTTTAACTTTTAGAAAAGTGCTTTAACCAAAGTTTGAAACATTTATTTAAAGACAGCACAAATCTGGGTGCAGAGAATCTTAGACCGGTTTAAACAGGCAGTCAACTTGCAGACAAGCACTACTGAAACAGGGGGTCTAATAGATATGATGGCAAATTTGCATAAAGTAGAAAAGATTCTTTGTACTTTTTCAGTACTGTTAATGGCACACATAATGACTTGGCAACTGTCACTAATTAATATGAGGCTCATAATTGTGGAAGAGAAAGGAAGCAATAACACTTGGATTCAGGAAAACACCATTAGGTTGAAGCCCTAATGAAATGAATGGAACTTAATTATTTAATTAAAACTAACCACATGTGTAAGTGTTTCCCTAAGAGACAGGACACTTTCCTGGCTGGCTTGAAAGCTTATGCTCAAAATGGGAAACCAAAATACCTTCCTATGTCTTATTTATTAATAAGAGTTTGAAATTGAGAATTAGCATTAGAAAGAATATATATTTTAGAAGACATTTGTAAGAAAGAGACCACCACGTAAAATAAACACACATGCCTCTACCCAAGCCTGAAACTGTCATGCAATAACTCAACTGAAGACAAGACATCTTAGCATTTGACCAAACTATTGCAGAACGGAAGAAAGCATTTAAGGTTCACCTAGGTTTATTCACATATATGAAAAGTCTCCTTATTTATCACTTCTAATGGGGTTTTTGTTTTACTTTGTTTTGTTTAATCAAGACCTCTGCTTAGGTTTATCTTGTGGTAAGTAGCTTAAATCCTCATAATAGGTTAAGGCTCACAGTGCTGAAGTCTGGCTTTAGAATATCTAACAAAGTCATTGTCTAAAGTGTTGTTCTCTCTGTATTAATGCCATACATTTCTGAATGATTGTACATGATGCAGGCCAATGGATCGACTATAAAGTGAAGAACAGTTTTGAAACAAAGATGTCTTCCTTAGGAAGACTGTGTTAAGGTTGCAAAGAAATTGAAGAAAGACACTCATTATTAAAAAAAAATCCTTTTTTAAAGAAATTAATTTTTTTCACAAATTACATATACTTCAAAGACTGGAGATAAATAATTAATAATTTATCAATGCGCTATTACTTCAAAAATTTGCCATATGATTAATGAAGTGGAATTCATTTAAAAGAGAATCAATTAATAGCCAAAGATAATACTGAGTGGACAGGATTAAAACAAAATCAGTGTAAATTTCCTGATGTGTGGGCTTCATATACATACTCTTTACAGGTGGGTCATCAAGACTCTTCTATTTAAAGAAAAAACCTTTATTATTCTTATGAAAAATTATTATTTATAACCCAGATAATTTTAAATCATAAAATATTTCTGAATATGCTCTGTAAGAGTGATGTTAAAATCATGCAGAAGCCATACAGACTGACTTTTTGATCTATTTATCATACAAATTTTTGTGAGGAAAGGAATGCATATCTTACAAAGAGGAAATTAAAACACAGAGAAGCACAAGTGATTTGAAAGGTGAACTTCATGTTGGAGATCATCCTGCCTGTCTCTGTTGGGTACTAAAGATGCAGAATATGGAAAGAGCCTAAAATGATGGCAAAACAAAAAGTCAAAAAGCAGAGGTTAAAGCAGGTGAATAGGGGGACGGGGAAAAGGAAGTGAAAAGGAAAATCAGAAGACAAAGCTACTTTTGCTATTAACTAATGGCTGCATATTCACTGGTATCAGCTAGTATCTATTTACTAGCTCTACAGGAATTTACAAATTCCTGACAAACAATATGCTACTATAGTTGTAGAATGTTACACATTGGGTATGAATTATTCTCACAAGACTCAGCAATCTGATATGGAGTAGATACTGACTTTCTAGCTCAGAAGAAATATTTGCTTATCCTGAAGTAATAACATACACTAAATTTGCTCTGCTCTTCCTGTAAGACAAGAGGTTGCTTTAATCAATAAATCATTACCTAGGAATAGCAATGTATTTGATTTTCTTTGAGTTGAGATCTGTTACTTCCAAGTATCCAGCAGCTTGTGGAGGAGTGACATCTGAAAATCAACAAACACATTATTTTCCTGCTGCATGATTAACTGGTTATTGCATTTGCATTTAGCAGATTGGATTTAAGCATTTCATTATACAGTACCTGTCAGAAAATGATAAGCTTTCACTTTCAACACAGGAGTGTGTGACTTGCAAACATTGATTTGTTTTTTTTTCATTATGATACTGAGCAACTAGGCAGGCAAAACTGCAAACGAGCAAAGTATTTGTACAGCAGAAGTCAAAATTACACACAAATATATTCCTACTCACAAAAGCACCAATCGGGCATTATAGCAATCCCTAAGTCACCATTTTTTCTGTCATAAAATATAACACCAGCTGTATGTCTGACTTAAAAAGGGTATTGAGGAACATTTCAAAACTCTGAACTATAATTCCCACCTGAATATTACTCCAAGTGTTTTTGCCTTTCATTGAACCACTTTTCTTGAAGATAGATTCCGAGTAAGCAATGACTTAAATAAATATATTGTAAGCAGCCCTAGACTATCAGGCATTTACTATGTAGTTTATGAAAAGGTTTAATGACTATCTATTGCTAATACTATAGTCCCTACCTCAGAAGTACATGAGAGAGTGTCTCTGTGTGCGCCTGTGTGTGTGTTTGCCTCTCTACACTGGCTTTTGCAGACAGGTGAGCATAATCTGCCTGGGTGCAAAGTGGCTTTCAGTTAGGAGCTGGAGTAGCAGGGCTAGATTTTGCAGAAGAAAAACAGAAGATTGAATTACACTGTGTGGTATGGATACAAAATATCATTCCCAATAGATGAAATTCTAGATTTTACTCTAAAACTGCCTTTCACTTATTTGAGCTGAAGGAGAGTCTGCAGAAGTGCTGTGCTTGCATACAGCACACACAGAGCAGCAGTAACAGCAAAGATCTAAGGGATCTAACATTCAAATGAGGGAAGAATAACTCACAGGAGCACCCCATGTAGTACCTACAGTAGCATATCTGTTGGTAATGGAAAAAATACAGGTTTGTGGGTGACATAGCGCTTTCTGGTTTTGCCTAGATGTTATTACTGTTTACTAATGTGTTCTTTCTGTGTGTTAAATGCAGAATAAAATGCACACAAAATTCTGATGAAGATCTAGAACATGCAGATGATAGTGAACAAGAAGGGACAGAACCATAAAATCAGCATTAAAAAATACTCTGATAGATTAGAGAGATAAAACAAATTCATCAAATTAAATTAGGAAAAGAAAAAGGACTGCAGAATAGGAAGCTAAAAGGGTAAGTAAATGTTTAAATGCAGCACAGGAAAAACTGCCCAGGACTCAGCATGGAAGTCAAAGATCTTGCAATGACCAACATGCCAATGATGCTATGCTGCTGCCAGAGTAGAAAAAAAAAAGTCAGGCCTTATATTGAGTGTATTAATACACATATTAAAAATATGTAATATGTAACAAATATAAAGATATTAATATGATCAAAATAAGTGTAGTGACTATTCTTTTGCTGAGGACTGAGGGAGGACAGCATCTAAGCCTAGTGCTGGGTATCAAACATAAAGGAAAATGTAAACACACAAGATAATCTCAAGGGTGACAAAGAATGAAATGAGAAGTTTAGAAAAGATGGGTTGTTAGGACAAATTTAAGGGATTAACTTTTTAGTCTTAAAAAAAAACACACTGCAGGAAATAAAATAAATGCCCCAGCAGTATTACCCTAATGAGGTAGAGGTAAAATGAATAAATCTGCTTCTTTTATGGAAATAAAAGACAGAGAAACATTGCAATAGGCCACTCAGGGAAACTCAAGAACCTCTCTCAATTGAGATTTTTAAGGATAAAGGTTTGACAAACATCAGTGAAGAAAAGTCTAAACTTGTGTCATCTTATTCCGATACAAATAGACTAGATGACGTGTTTATTTCCGTAACTCTGTGCATTACACTACATACTGTTCCAGTAACTAACAGACAGTATACACTCAGCAATAGTCTGTTATTTTTAAATTCATATACGGAGACTGCTGAGAAGCAAAGTAAATATTTGCCATCAAGTAGCCCTGATTTTCTATAGCTTTGCTTTTAGAGAAAACGTTAATATTTACTATTAAATATATCTGTTGGATTCTGCCATGATCTTGTCTGCATTTCTATTCTGTGGCCGTTTATCTATCTGTATGTCCTGGGGGAAATTAATAGTTGTTATAGTTTCTTTTTCAGGCGTAACTACTACCCTAGTTTACAGTTCCAATAAAACATAAAGGAAACAATCTCTTTGCTTGTTGTTCCTGGAACAGCTTTGGTAATATGTATTGGAGCGTGCTAGAGTTTGGCTGAGTACTTTGAAGTATTAATAGAAACGGAGGGCCATGTGCCAGAACTGACCAGTTGTCCAAGATGATGGGGAAAAAAAGCCCGACAGATAAGCAAACTGAAGCCAGAACATTAAACAACTTCTCAAAGCCACATAATAAGTCAGTGCAAGAACATCAAGGGACTGCCACGTGCTCCCTTCTGCGTAACAAGACGCCTTTGCTTCGCTCTGTCATCTCCCAGGAGAGAATGAAGACTTACACAACCTATTTGTACTACAGGTTTCCAGTGCAAAAGCAACAACACATGGGGACTGTCTGCAGGCGACCCTGTGTTACGTGGCAGTCAGGAATGGGCAAGGCCGCGGTCTCCAAGGCGCCACAGCAGTGTAGTAAGCAACTACGGGTAGCTGTTACACCTACACTCAATTAAATAGTCTGTGAATCAGTAACACTGAGGGACAAACTCCAGAAGAAACATCAGCCTAGCAGAAGGGGTTGCAAATACTGGATTTGAATCAGGCACAGTAAGAACATGTACCTTACGACTTCACCTTCCAAGGTCTATCATCTCCTTTCCTCTCCCCTTTTTCCTTGGAAAGGGGTTGGATTCCTGCAATAACTTGAAGAGCACAACAATGACAAGACTAGGTCCCTGCAACCTAATACCCTGTCTCAAAGAGTAGCTAAAGCTTAACAAGAACTGCTCAAGATATTCAGTATTTTCTTTCAGTCTCCAACCACTATTCAACCAGGAGCTGGATGCAGTATCTATAATCTTATTGCTATGTGTTTGTTAAGCTCCCATGAAAGTCAAGCATTCCCAAGAATGCATGTTTCAGCGTTCACAACATATTTTGGCAAGGGGTTTCACATGTTGATTCGTTCTTGGGTGAGAAATCACCTCTTCGTGTTTGTTTTGATAAAGTTCTCACTAGCTGCATCTGCTGCTCCCTAGCTCCGGTAGGGATGCATTATGAAATTACTGCTTTTTCCATGTCTCAATGCCATGTGTGATTTTGTAGAACCCCACTATATGCCCTTTTATTCATCTTTTTTTTCCACATTCAGGAGATGCAGCCTGGTCATCCTTGTTACCCTTGTCTGAACTTTTCCCAGTTCATTTATCTCCCACCTTGAGATAGCGGGCTAAAATCACACAGCACTAGATTCTAGAAGAGCATGGATCTAAGGATTCTAGAAGGGTACGGATGCAGCCCAGAACTGCACGCAATACTCCAGGTGTGGCCTCACCAGAGCTGCGTAGATATTACTTTACATTTATCTATATGGAATTCCATCTGCCATTTTATTGCACAGTGAACGTTATAGTCCTGTAATTCTTCACAGTGCACCCATTCTATCATGAGTAACAACACCCAGGATCATTAGCAAACAGTGTTACTTCATTGTTCACTTTTCTAGGCTTTTCATGGACATGCTGAATAGCAGGACTCCACTCACAGTTCCTCCTCCATGTGGAAAACTAACCATGCACTGAAAGTTGAAAAATATCTGAAATCCTGAAAAAAAAAGGCTGAATAGAAGACATAGAGTCCTGCTGAGGTCTAACTTAACCATATCAGTAAGTTCAAATTAAACATGATTCGATTAAGATCAATTTCTGCAATTCATAAATTCAAACGGGATTTAGAAAAGAAAAATCAATGATAATGATCTTAAAGAAGGCCTGGAATCTTTCAACTTAAATGGCCCCAAAGCACTTTACAAACTATACCTCCTAAAATCTTCTATAAATTTAAAGCTATCAATCACTATTAATGAGAAAATTTCACTATAGTTGAGGAGAAAAAAAAATTGTTCAGCTGATATAAACAAAACCGCTCAGCCAGACAGAAGCCAATTCTCACACAGAAATTCACTCAGATCACTGGTATGCAGGCTTTTGCCCTTCACGAACAATGATGTCCTCTGGTTTTTAATTATACTACTCTAGTGTTATAAATTACTTATATGCCACAATAACTTAAAATATGTTTTTATAAATACCTAAAAATCTCCGTTTTAGGTCTCATTCGGAAGCACCGTATCCCTCCTTCTCTCCCAAATCAGTGAACTAATTCAATGAAAACTTAGAAGATTTCCCTTTTGAATTCTTACACCATCCACAACCTTCCTGCAAAAATTGACCAAATCTGATCATTTACTAGTTTATGAAGTGTGACAGGATTACAGTTTGAGGCAGTTTAGTTTGAAGATATGCACAATTACTCTATGTTTCACTCAGCTTAAACTTTTCAAAAGCTAACCTTTCCTTTGCAAATCTGGCTAGTTCCATTTTTCTACCCTGTGACTTTGCTTATTTGATCATGTAAATCATTGTACAAATCAGTGTACAAATGGAGGATAGTTTTGCTGTATGTGAATGATGCTCTTGGACCAGAGGAGAACTAAAAAGCCTGTGTCTCTTCTGTTTGGAGAGAAGGCAGAGGGCAGATGTGAGTGAGGTTTACAAAATTTTGAAGGAGACAGGTAAGATGCATGCAGAACTGTTGCACACCAAACCCTGCAATGTTAGAAGCAGGGGCACTTTTGTGTTCACCACAGAGGACTGAACTTGTGAACTTGCTGTAGAGACAGACAAGTTCAAAAAGGGACCAGACAAATTCAAGGACAACAAGTCTGTAAAAGGAGATTAAAAGGCTGAGGCAGGAATGTCCCTTCCAACATCCTGAATAAAGCAACTGTCAAGGTTGAGGAAGTATGAGGGGAAATAAACTGAACAAAGTGGCTGGGCTCACGTGCACTCCCTAGTTAGCCTCTCTTATTGCCCCAGAGGGCAACAGAAAATTGAGCTAGGCAATTGCTTTGGCAAATAAGGCATTCCTCATTATTGCAACCTGTGAGTTTGTGTGGCACAGTGCAGAGGCTGGGAATACTGGTGCAAATTCCCTGTTGAACTGGCACAATTGCACCTCTGCAGCTGCTTCCCACAGTGAGCAGAGTGAGATCCCATCTACTGGGATACTCATGATATAGGCAGCCTGCTAATTCCTCAGAGGTAAAATTTAGCATGCTGAGGAAGGTCTGAGTTAATTTTTAAGTTAGCAAAATGTACGTGATTACTGTCTATTCTCAGGTACTGGTGTTATAATTCCTTAAAAATGCTTTGTAAAATTTCACAAGTGATTGCAGTTTAAAAAACAAAACCAACTGCGTACAGTTGTTGCAGCAGAAGTATATGAACCTCTTACCTTTTGGGTAAATGTCTTTCAAAGGCACATTTCCAGGTGCTATAATTCTGACTATTTGATTAGAAGCCAATAAAGTTACACAATTGGTTTGTTTTGCAGCTCCTGTTTTCCTCCGGGCTCCGTAATAAAATGAATCAGAAGGAGAAGTGTGTCTGCGACTCAGAGAGGAGTTTCTTTTCCAGCTGTACACTTCACTGGGAGACTGCAAGAGAAATGGATTCCACTGAACAAAAAGCTTCCATTACCGAACCTATAAACAAACTTCTCTTGCTGAGTTCCACTTCACATCCAGTTTCAAATCAGATGTGAATACTGTGGTTACTTCTCATGTCATTACAAGGAAAAGACCTGCAGTATTTTGTCAGTAAAACTACCTATAAAGGAAGGTCAAGCAACAGACCACCTACATAAACTTGTCAGTCAAGCTGATGATTTAGAGACGAATCAATATATTTTTATATCAAACCAGGAGTAGAAAGTATTGAAATAGGCTCACCTGGACCTAAACTAATAAAAGGGTTTAATGTAGTGAACTATTACCATAATCTAAGTTCTCATTCTAAATAAGTGCAAATTCTTTGAGATATTGAATCCAAAAGCAGACACTATGGCTCAGGCTCAGCAACATGTTCAGACACACAAACGTAGGCAGGTATCGACATGTGAGCCAGATGCTTCATCTCCTATACAGACAATAGAACAAATAGGATCTGATCTTAATATCTCTACGTTTGTTTAACTTAGCACTGCTACTATAAATAAGACCTTGCACATACATAAACACCTACACCATCAGCACCTAAATCTAGTGGATTTAGGAGTCTGAATCTGGTGTTTATTTCCACCCTTAGTATTGAGGAGTGTAGCATCCCCAGCAACCCCTCTTCTAAGCTGCCTCCTTTGCCTAATAATGAACTCACAACTGTTTTTTAGAGTACAGATTTAAAAAAAAAAGAGCAAGTATAATCAATCTGGTTATCTGAATCACATAAAAACTAACTGCAAGGAA